GAGCTGTCCCAGTTGATGTCCTTCAGGCTGCTCTGGCTGGCACATGGCTGCCTGTGTTACAACCAAAACACAATAACTGTGAAATTCTGTGTTCTCTTTGATTGCCCCTGTCAGCAGGAAGGTCAGAAAGCGTGGTCAGCTACATAAAAGCACCTTACCTGCACAGTAACACCACTACTGAGTCGGCTTTGGCAGGGATGAAGCCCAGAAGGAAGACATTGCGACAGCCACAGTTGTAGCACTCCAGTACTGTTTCCCCCAGAGGGCCATCTTTATGCAGGGTCACCTCCTTGGACTTCGCTCTCACCAGGTGGTTTACAATGTGGCTACGGGTGAAGAGGATGATAATATATGCACCAGAGTGAGGAAATGCAAAACACTACAGCAAATGTATTAGGTGAGGGTGTAATGTGTTAAGCCCAGACGCCTTGGATCAACTTGTCTTGACAATTCTTTTATTTTATGTTATTCACACTCAAATGAAACATGACTACAAAAGAATTCAGCAAAAATATCTGTGTTTACTAAAACTGCTATAAATACAAAGAACCAGTCAATGCCCATCATACAAATACGAGTTGAAGTATTTGTAAGTAGGTTCACATCATTACCAAATGTGTTACTACTACCTATTTATCACCTTGAGTCTATAGTGTCAGAACTAGAGCATTAGGTAAAAAACAGCATCAACTGTACATGACTAATTAATATAATTATAATTATAATTTTAAATAATAATAATAATAATAATAATAATAATAACAATAATAACCCAAAGTTCAGTTACTGTATATGTTTAACCACTAAGGAGACCAGACAACATTTTTCTGAACTGAAATATCTTGCCATTGTTTTCTGGTTTATATAATCTGGCTAATTTAAAAGGATCATCTTTAATTATACCTACTGAAGAAATATTAGGCTACTTTAAAATTAAGACTTCAAAGACAAATACCTCTTTGCTTTGGATGACTTGCTCGAATAATTTAATATTATCCTAAGTGGCCCATGAAAGTCAGTAAAGATAATTATTTTAAATGATGTTTGTAACTGATTATGTGTAACTCCATAAGCAACCACTAACTGTCCATTTATGACCCGAGGCTTCTGAACACATCAAAGACTCATTATTACAGTCGCAGTTTACTGTACTCCAGCTATGACGATATTGAACACCAACTGGAAGGTTCAATAAAAGCTGATATGTTACTATATCTTACCTGCCGGATGTGTTTCCACGGCCATTACAAAACCACTTCTTGCTGGTGTTGCAGTAGACCACACAGGCTGGATCATGAATCCCACAGTAACTAAAATAGAAGTGAGTCAAATTTAATAAAGAAAGAAAAAGCTTTATATTTGAGAGCATGGATTTGTTTATATAGAAAACAAAACAAGAAAAATCAACATATGATTTGTTATAAACTGTCAATATTGATTATTACACTATATTGATTTGTTACTTGAGGAAAGTTTGTACCCAGACGGACTGTATGCAGAGTGCAATTAATATGCCACTTGCTCAACAAAATACATACTAAGTGAGTTGCCACATAGTCTGCCAAACAGTAATGGATGTAGCTGCTGCCTAAAAACTTAAAATTAAAGTTTTTATAAGCATGTCGGAAAGAAGAGGCCATCGTTCTCTGTCCAACAAACTTTGTTTTCGCTGCCAATCTTCAGGGAAAAGTATTAAAAACATTTGCTACTGATCTGTTGGTGAAGGTTTTATAGAAACAAACTAATTATCTTACCCAGCTAAGAACTGAGAATGTCTGGATGTCAGACAAACTCAACTGGAGTTTTTTGGCACAGCCAAACTAACAGCAGTTCAGTGCTTGGTATGACGTAACAATAATAGCGATTAACCACTGTTGACATGACACAATATGTTCTCATAATTTGACGTATGTGCCATCTGGAGAAGTGAGTGAGAGCGTGTGTCTGTGTTGCCCACCAGGGACGGTACCCCAACCCCTTAAGTGAAGCTGACAAGATGGACAGAAACGAGCACATTGAGTATATATATATATATATATAGCTTCATGATGTTATAAGCCTGGCTGCCAATGAGAGAAAAGGGTCTGCTATGATTTTGCTCAGATTTTAAAAAAAATGTATGTCATGGCATTTGAAAAGTAGTATTTAAATAAGTTCGATTTTTTTATTTTACAGTTATGAAATATCTTCAGACATTATCGTCAACAAAAAATGAGACTGTAATAATGAGACCACTGAGACTCTATTGAGTATAAAAAAAGGGTCTGTCTACAGCAAATAACAGCAACAATCAAATAGACACTACATGTAATAAACAATAAACAAAATAAGTTTCATGAAAAAAATAAAATCATAACAAACTATATTTTCCCACTCTGATGATAGCTGTGGCACCAGTCACATTAGTCTGATCCTTTACCTGCAGGCGTGTATAGGAAGATCCTTGGTGTAGTAGGTGTCCTCCTCATCCTCCTCAAAGTTCAATTCTGCCAGCAATTGACTGGCTTTCACCACGGGGTCGTCTCCATTCTGTAGCACGCCATCAGGTCCATTAACCTGAGGACACAGGTGTATAAACTTATTACTATGGACTAAAACTTAATGCCAACATTATGTGGAATAAACTAACATTGAAGGATCACTGATAGTGAATCAATTGTGCAAAAATTGGACCGTCAACCAGACACATACAGCCTTATATGGTCATATATTTCACTTGCAGTGCTGCTTGTTGACTGTCAGCTCAATCAACAGTGTGCTGACAGCAATATCACACTGACAGTATCCAACCAGCTGTGTCTATTGACCTCTGATTGTTGACAGTGCATACTGTAAAGTATTTAGTACATATTAGCACTAGTCAGTATAAATATGGGCATTCGGGGCTGATCTGCCACACTGGCAAATCTCTGACACCAAGGTGTGTATGGCAACAAAGTCCTGCATTGACATGCTAGCTGTGTCAGCATGCTAACGGTGCTGTCAGCTAGCTAAACGCCGAAGCTAGCCCGCTAGCACGCTAACCAGTTAGCGGGATGAGAGCCGGGACCAGATGGAAGGCGTCGTCGTGCTAACCGGGGTAGCCACTGATGTTGTGAGCCAACGTTAGCGAGCTAATTCACGTTTTGTCAACAGAGCAGAAGACATATTCTGACACCGAGCTGCCCCGAATACCCTCACGCACCTGGCTGTCCAGCTGACTCTGGGTCTGGCCTTGGGTCTGGGTCTGGCTCGGCAGGGTAAAGTCGGTGAAGTCGTACTCGGAGCCCTGGGTGTCCGCTCCCAGCAGCTCGGCTTCCTCGGTGTCAAGGAACGTTAGAGTCTGCGAGCTCGGCCCGTACGCCTCGACACTCATGTTTATACCTTCTTAATATCGGTTTTTATTGTTCCTCAGACTGCTGCTATTCCAGGAGACACCGAATAACGGAGACAGAATATTGATGAGAAAATGACAAACACTGGTGGTGAGACAGAGATAGAAAGATCCTCGACTACGGCTGCATTCCGTTTGTTTTCTCCCCCGCTCGTTTCCTCTCCTCCCTCAATACCGCCTGTATCCTACAGGAAGTCACCTGCAGGGAGCGAGGGAAGGAAAGGAGACAAGGAGACATACGTGAACAGAATTTAATGTGGGGCCACTTATTTCTTATATGGGCACAAAACTCAGAGCTTTATCATGCAACAAGGTCAAATCTCAAAGGATTACTCGACTTCTGTCCTTTATTTTAAGAAATAAAGGTGCAACAAATATTAACAATTTTAACAATTAATTAACAATTATTTATAAAGCACCTTTCAAGCTTAAGCACAAAGTGCTTTCCAGATTAAAAAATATGCAAAAGATGCATTAGAAAATGAATACAAAATACATATGAAAAATAAAACACTAATAAGTCATGCCACTGTGTGGTAACACATACCACAATATGTAAGTTAAAAATACAAACAAGAAAAGGAATAGTAGACTGTTTTAAAAAAAAAAGTGTAAATATGCACCATGCACTTTATAGGTTTAATACAGGCTGAGCTTTAGTGATCATGACATTATAAATGTTAGGCCCCTGAAAAAACCAGCAGTAGATATCTGCTGTACATTATACCCACATTCAGCTATGCACCTGAACACATTATTTACTGAAAGCACTGGCTGGCTTTTAGATCAATTTTGATCATTTTACATTTAAATTCATTTAGTACCTTTGAGGAACATTGTTATTTTAAATAAAATGTTTTATTTTATGTCCACAACTGAAATATTGTGCTTATTTCTCATCTGTTCAGAACTCAACAGGTTAGCACAGCTCTGAGACTCTAAATCCTGGTAAGATTAAGGAAGGCGGTAAAATGGTTTTACTCCTTTGTCCAAGAGTAGGAGTAATTATGCAACAGTATAAGAGGACCACTTTCCTGATAGTCTACCAGTTCTTGATACTGAACCAAAGAAACTTTAATACATTTTAATGTTTCTAGTCTCTGTTCTCACTCTGTCCTGTCAGGTCAGAACAAGTTCAACAGGTCTGTCTAACCTTACTACACCCACTGTTACCATAACTCAGCCTGCAACAAAGGAATCTGAAAGTAAATAAGGTATTAAAGAATTCAGTGGAACAAAGCAGATAGTTTCTAAGGTTACAAGCAGTTAACAAGATGTTACATCTCACTGCAAAAATTCTCAATATCTTATTATTGGTCTTAATCTATCTGAAATCATGTTATTCTTTTTGCCTTGCCGAGCATTGGCTAGCTTTTTCAGATATATCTCAACAACGGACAAAGTCTTTATTAATCTACCAGGCCTCGACCTTCCATCTGCCATACTCGGTGAGAAAGAGCAATACTAGCATTTCAAACACAATGTTCCCAATCTAAATTATTTGGTGGTCAGAAAATATTTTGGCAGGATAACGGCTGACACATTTTTTTTTCTTGGGTGTGGTTCTCTGTGTAAATAACTTTTGGAAATATAGCAGACATGTACAAGAAAGGTGAAAGAGAAGAAATAACTGTGTAACGTGTTTTAATTATACACAGCTTTACGCTGGCTTTGCCTTGCACAACTGCACTACATACATAGGACAGACACACTTATTTTATTTATAACATAATTTAAAGGTCCAGTGTGTAGGATTTAGTGGCATCTGCTCTGTATTTGCATTTCCCTCACTTCACCCTAGAACCAGTGAAACATGCGATTCAACATGGCGGACTCCATGGAAGGCGACCCGTGGCCTCGGTATATATAAAAGGCTCATCATGCATATTATATTCCATTACTGCCAATAGATCCTCCTGAATGTTACACACTGGACCTTTAATACTGATTGCATGTGCAATATATTCCCTGAGATAAACGATCAATAATTAGTGTGTGTGAATCTTAAAATCTCTTTAGGTTCCCGTCATTTCAAAGTCATCACATTTTTCTGGTGCAAATACAAGCAACACAAGGGAATGACATCATAATTCCAAGACAACAACCGAAGCATACCAAGACGATTTGTGAGACTTGTGAGAAGAGAGAGAGGGAGGACAGACTCACAGGTGACAGTGGAAGGATGTGGCTCAAAAAGTGAGTGTAATGCAAGTAAGTGAAACCGTAAACGTTCCCACAGTGTGTTGCCATACATAGCTTGTAGTTTTAGCTACTACCTTCTTATTACTACTAATTCCATGTTCATATAGTCTCATAAATCTCCCTTTTCACATGATACAATGTTAATATGCCCATAAGTGTAAAGTTTCCACAGTCTTTTGGAAGCACGCTTGTAAGGACATGAGTAACACTCACAGCTGCCCACTACTCCTGCACACACATTCAAACCTACACATGCAAGGACCCAGACCAGGTCTTCAATAAACAGATGCTGTAATCAGGGTGCTGCAATCTGTAAAACCTTCAATATGTTTGAGATACAACACATGTCACTGATATTACAGTTAATAGCACCAAATGGCATTCACCATAATGGCATTCAATCCTGTAGCTAATGGACTGACTGATCACTACCTGCACTATGAGTCACAAGTTTTTTAATCTTTTGAGCACCACACCTTAATCAATTATCATTTAACTTGCCTCAGTAGTTGATTAAAGCTTGTATTAAAGCCAGCCGTTCATTTTGGTGAATTTATTCTACGAGCCTACTCAGAGTCGGTCATTAGTGGTCATGCCCGTCTTGATGCTTGTGATTGCAGCACTCGTTGTGTTCGTGATCCAGTTCCAGCTGTTTCAGCATCTCCTGTACAGCGGCCTGAAGAGCTCTCGCCAGCTCCTGGCTGTTGTAGGGTTTCCCCAGTGGAGGCACATGGATGAAGGCAGAGCGGCCGTGCCCCAGGTGCAGAGAGGTGTAGTAGGTGTAGTCACACAGATACCTGCCACGGAGCCACAGGATGGATGTTATGTTGTGTAAAGTTTTTATGATCACATTTCTACTTCACCAAACAGACAAGAGAGTATCAGAAAATATGGTAGTGTCAGTGTGAGGGGGATGTCAGCTTTGCACAGCAGTAGGTCCCCCAGGCAGTTCAGACATTTCAAAATAAGACATAAAACAATTGTAATTATTTTGCACATTTGTAACTATTCAGTGTAAAAAGAGAAATATTTTCCATTATTAAGTGTAGGTGTAGATATTTATGTCTAGGAGATGTTGGCAGAAATTTTATTATTTTATTATTGAGAACAGGCATGAAAATGGAAGCAAAGCGATGTTTAGTTAGTAAGTTAGTTAGTAATATATTTTCCTATATACAAAATGTTAATAATGTTGTTAATGATATTAGTAACACTTGTGCTGTTCCTGTGTCAGTGTCTTCATGTGTGAATTTCCCTATGAGTAAGTAACATCATTTACCTTCCAGCATCCTTAGACACAGAGAGAGTGACCCCGAGGCCAGAGTCATTGACCCTTTTGCAGACAGAATCCATGTCCAGGACCGAGTGTATGCAGTCGGGGCCATTCTCTATGCAACACTGGGAAGTTGGGCAGAAGCTGCAGTTGTCCGGACGTTTGTAACCGTTGTTGTGGCCGCACTGCTCCAGAGTGACAGTGGTGGCTAACCCAGAAACACCGACATGGACCACTAACTGCTCGCAGGACCCCAAAAGACAGAGGAGGCAGAGGTTTTTATGGGCTGATTGACGGACTTTTAGCAACATACAGAATTGTGTATGTTCTTGAATACCTGTGGCTGGTGCTCTTTCCACAGTGATGGCAGTAGGCTCTGTACAGCCTGGTATTCAACGGGCACCTCACACACATGAAGATCTACTGCTTCACCCAGCCCTAATCGCTCCAGTTCCTGTGAGCACAGAACACACACACAAATATATATAGAGACCTTAGTTGCAATCTTAAAGTGTGTAAAGCACACGTCTTTTAATAGTACCTTTGTTTTCCCTATGTATTTTTATTGAAGCATTTTCAATATTTTGAGAGATACAATTCAGTAAGCCAGTTGGCAGAACATAGAACATTAATTAATGTTAATTTGGTAATTAAGTTAAGTTGGGAGAAATCTAAATAGTTAAAATAAATAATACATAAAAATACAAAAGGATATATAAAATTATAAAAAGGAGGGAAGGGGATTGGATTAGGTATAAGTGAATCACTTTAGTCCAATCCAGTCAGGTTTGCTGTGGATTTCATCCTAAAAGGAAATAAAGGGGGACCAGATCTTTTTAAAGTTATCCAACTTATCGTTCAGAGCAAACCTGATTCTCTCTAAATGGAGAGTACTGGACAACTGCAACCTTTGTTAAAACGGAACCACCTGATTACTGATTACCTGCACTGCCACCCAGCTTGAGTTCACTGCATGCTCACCAAAAGGCTCAAAACCTGCAGAGGAGAGAATGTCAAACAGTCTTTACCGCAGTAAGGGTGCACAGAGCAGCAAAATAGATTTTAAAAAGTCAGTGAGGATGCTTATCTGTCATACTGAGAAGTGATAAGGGTTAATGTAAAAAAGGGCCTCTTAAATCAAAGTCTAAATGTTCAGCCGGTTTAAACATAATTGTAGCAGATAAGCACATGAAAACACTGAATGATGCCCCCCTTTTGCAGTTGAGCAATTAAGGAGTGTTGTGTTGCAAAAAAGATTAAATTTAGTGTCAGTCTTTGTTTCCCTATAAACCAGCGGACCAAACCCTTCTTCTGACAGCAGCCTTACTCTCTGTAGAACATTATTTTTAAAAACAGTGTCATTACTTATTTATAACATAAACCATTAAGTCATTTTAACCAGATCAACTGTGCAGCTCAGACACAAGTAAAAACAACTCTATGAGCCACAACAGCAGTGCAGTGACAATAAATAAATCATTTATTCCTCTAACCAATTAAAACCTCTCACCTGTTACTATTACTTTCTTCTTATTGGCCATTATCCTTGGTTGTTATGAAAGGAATGGTCATAGATTTACAGTAAGGGGATCAAATATCCCAAACAAGAATCCCAGGATTGTCTACGCTTGCTGCTCTCTTCTTCTGGCTCAGAGCTGAAAGGAAATGACACACCAGATCTGGATGGCTCACACTGCCATCTACTGTATGGGCATGCATCCATACACAGAAACAAAGAGAACTCATGAATTTTGTATTTTTTCACCTTGCACCACAAGACAGTTTTGGAAAGCCGACAGGAGAACATGAAAACTGATCCTTTTAATCCGAGTGTTTTAATGCAATATGATGTAATTCAAGCCACATGTGTGCTGTAAATGAAAACTGAGCATCTGCACTGCATTTGCATATTAAGGGTTAGAGAGGACGTTTTATAAGTGGGCGGCTAAAGTGAATTAAAAAAAAAAGAGAACTGTTGAGACAGCCCATTAATGAACATGCAACCCCCAAACCAGCTGCTCCAGTAGAGCTGCTGAGTGGTTTTACTGGGCTGCTCCCAGGTGTGAATGTATGTACTGTAACAGCGTGAGTGTGACACAGGGCGTTGCTGAACATACATACCCAGTTAGCTTCTCCCAAGAGAGTTAAAGTCAAAGGACAGTTCTCTGGCTGAGGGAGGAGGAATTGAAAGGTTACACAACCTCTGACACACTCCATCACCTGAGTTTAGAGGACAAACCCTTTTTTTCCCCCCCAGACTGTTGTTAAGAAGGCAGAGCTAATCTAATATCGCCTTACAGGAACAGCTCCTTTTTTCTTTTTAAATTCTCGGCGCACTCTGTGGTCCACACCCTCGGGTTGCGAAATGACTCACACATTCTGGATACTGCACCCTATGTGGCTCTGAGCTGGCATAATGGAGATAATGTGCTCTCCATAGGGTGGAGAAAGCAGAACCTTTCTCTCATTCATGATAGAGCCTCTGTGCTTATAGAATCAACATTGATTTCTGCCTCTCAACCACATCACTCACGCACTGTAACACCTCCTCCGACCACCTACACAACCTGCACTGCGGTCGCTAACAGCCTCCTCTTCTCCCTCAACCCATTCACCTTTCTCTCTCTATCACGCCTGCGTCACTTGCTATGTCAGTGTTGCCATGGAAACTAATGATGCCCTCTCTGCTCCATGGTGCTGATGCAGACAGCCTGCTGACGTCCTCACTGTGTATGGGCGGAATAACAATATTCTACTGTAGTTTCCACCTCCCCTCCACACTCAGTGCCTTACACTGTATAAAATTGTCTCTTTTAATTTATATTCTATCATGTTCTGTTCTATTTAATAATTATATTATATATATTCTATTCTATACTATTCTATAAGGCTCTATTATGTTCAATAATGTTCCTTTCTAATCAGTGTCTTCTATTCCATTCTACTCTATTCTATCAGACATCTACACAATAGTAGGTATATACTTCTGTATTAATGTTCTTAGATTAAAGAGCATCTATCATTCATATTACTGTATGAATATTTATAATGTATTTCTTTATTTGGATCAAAACAAATCAATCTGTTTAGATGCCTGAAATCTGACAGCGTTGGACTCATTGTTATGATTACTAAAGCTATGAAAAACAATCCTATATATATAAACACGATGACAACCGCAGCCATTAAAACCGTGACATACAGTGTGTCTGTAGTGTACATGAGGGTCATTTCAGGAATCTTTCTACATCCTACTTTCACTCACAGAAAACACATGGTTTCCTCGTCCTACTGTCAATGTTTCCTTCCCTTTTCTAGTTTCCCCAGAAACACTTTCAGAACACTCTGAGACGTTGTAACACCTCATTTCAAGACTCTTTCTGGGTCTTGTGTTTAATTTGAACACATAGACAACTTAAAAAACGATTATATTTAGACCTGCCTATTATATTCTCTTCTAGTCTACTCTAGAACAGCAAAGATCCTCCAGAGTCTCATTTCACGGAAGAATACACTATAACTAGTCCGTTAATACTCAAATCAAATCCGATCTAAAGCCGACTATTCTATTCTTGAAGTCTTTTAAAACAGCCTCAGCCTGAGTTGAAGGGATATTTTCTATACGGCCTGCTCCTCTGTTCTTCTTTTCCTTGGCCTTCGCCTCTTACACCTTCCCCGCCCAGTCTCTGCTCTCTCTTGGCGACCCTGAGCTTTTTTATGCTATGACATCAAACCACAATGCATTGCACTGTTTGTAGTTTACTTAAAGTCTCCATGGCAATAAAGACCGGCTCGGCCCCTTATTCAAATCGAACCGGAAACCAACGTCATTTTGGGCCAATCTCCGCGCTCTGGAGTGACATAATGGAATTTTTAGGGCTAGAAAGCGAGCGAGGTCTGGCGCTGCGCATAGCAGTCGTGCCATCGGGAAAAGACAATATCCCCCGCGCGTAGCAGAGACACATCAGAGCCCCTCCGGCACAACACCTCGACTGGTCGACAGATAGAGTGATTGATACACGAGAGGGGGGGAAAGGAAATAGGATCACATAGAAATAAGGATCAGCTGATTTCCTCATGTTTGGATGTGACTGCTCAGCAATCGTTAATGCGTAACGCTCAACACTCCCTCATGTGAGGGTGTAGAATGGAAACAACCCTCTACCCAGGCACCGTGGTGAATACTCCGAGGGTCCCCAGCATCTATTCCCAGAGCACGATGATGAAGAAGGATATTAATCTGAACCTGGACGACCAGAACTCCTCCGAGCTCAAATCAAACCCGCTCCGAGACACAGACGGACTTCTCAACTCTCCAGACTTGGGACTCTTGAAACTAACCTCTCCGGACCTGGAGCGCCTTATTATCCAGTCGAACGGTCTGGTCACCACCGCCAACCCGACCTCCCAGTTCCTCTACCCGAAGTCGGCCAGTGACGAGCAGGAGTTCGCGGAAGGTTTCGTCAAGGCGCTGGAGGATCTCCACAAGCAGAATCAGCTGAGCGAGGCGGGGTGCGTCTCTGTGGACAGACTGGAGCTCCTCGGATCATCCAACGCGGTGGGGACTGCCGGGCTCCAGACATCGGACCTTCCTGTATACACTACTTTGAACGGTTATGCGGCCAGTCCGCTCGGAGCCACCACAATCAACTACTCCACGGACACCATCCCCTTCCCGCCGCCTCCGTCTCATCTGGCCAGCGCGCAGCAACAGGCGGTCGC